TCCTTTTTTTTTTTTTGTAATTGTAGCTAAGAATTTTAATTTACTTTGAACGCACCAAATGATTTTGAGTGCCACCAATCTAAAGGTGTATGTTCTAATAAATGATTGATTGATTGATTGCGGTAGCTATAGAACAAACACTACTTTATAGTTATTTCACTATTATAGTTGTTGATGATGTAGCTCTTGCTCTGCAGTAGCAGTATAATAATAAAATAAACATATATTATCCTTCTTGATTTTCAGCAATAATGGAGACTCAAAAAAGTGACATGCATCATGTGCCATCCATTATGACCTTTAAAGAATCATCTGAAAAATTGTCAAGTGATGAACACAAGACACAGCTAGTGGGATCAAGTGAAAGTGAGTTTAAATATTTAAATAATATATTTTGGTTTCTTTGCGGAGCAGCAATATAAGTCTTTTCAAATCAAACATCCTTTTTAATTTCCACGTGCAATAGGGAGACAAAAATATTACACATCAGATATGCCATCCACTAACCCCTCGAGAACATATTCAGCTGTTCTATGGCTAAAGGCCTGTTTATACTTGCAACGATAATGATATAAAGCTAAACAATGGGGACAAGTGAATATGAGTTTAATTATTTCACTATCATAGTGTTGTTGATGTTGCCCATTCTCTGCAGTAGCAGAAGATTAAAACAAACAACCATATCCTTCTTAATTTACAGCTCTAACAGAGATTAAAATAAGTGACATGCCTGATGTGGCATCCACTATGAGCCACGAAGGAACACCTGGAGAACTGTCAAGTGATGAATACAAGGCTCAGCTAGTGAGACCAAGTGAAAGTGAGTGTTTAAAGATTTCAATGTTGCTATTATTATATATTTTTTTTTTATTTTTTGTAATTCTGACGTATAACACTAAATTGTGTTTCTTGGAAATGTATTTGAACATTAACCACAGATTATTTTAATAATTGAGGTCCATGGTACCAAATGGACTAGATATTTATCCTCAATGGCTATGTCAGAAATTAATTCGGAGTTAAATCAAATATTTTAAGATATGTCACACGATAAAGAAATTTTTAAAAAAAGCTCTTTGTAAAGTAAGTTGAATGTTTGCTTGATAATGATATTGCTGGTAAATCCATGATTTTTTCTGTTATCAAGAAATCAATGGTGACCTGAAATTTTATACCATAACATTAATTTTCTTAACCAAGGCACAATAAATTATTAAGCACCAAAGCCACCATGTAATGTAAAATACGTCAATGCTTATTTTTTTGCTTTTGTTTTGCTGTTGAACCGTCATCTTTATCTATTTTATCCATTGATATCAGTACAATCATCCAAATGCATCAGCATTTAATATCATGTCATAATTATGTTTAAGTTTTCTCTTTTGTGATAACTCTCATCATCCTCTTTCTTTTCATGATTTTCTTTATTTTTCTAAATGCTTTTTCTTTTATACAATAAAATAGCGACCAATGAATATAATGTTATAACATTAAATATCATTATAATAGATTTAAGTGTCATTTATGTTTTATTTACCAACTGCCTAATTACTGCTGTTACAAGCTGAGGCTATCGGCAATGCCGCAGTGCGAAAAAAAAACTCCTGTTTTCTATCAGCACTGTCGCAGTGTATAAAAGCTGCTGTTTTGTATTGGCACTGCCACAGTGCGAAAAAAGCTGTTATTTTCTATTGGCATTATTGCCGCAGTGC